CACACACCCGTCGCGGCTTCTCCCCGGCCTCCCCCCGTCCCGTCCCCACGCACTTGAAGAAGTCCTCTTTGCAGTAGACGCCGTCCCCGCGGCTGAAGCATTTCTCGGCCAGCTGCGTCTGGCAGTCGGAGCATTTCAGGCACTTGCTGTGCCAGTGCCGGTCCAGGACCTTGAGGATGAACCTGTCCACGATGTGCTGGTTGCAGCCGGCGCACAGCGGGATCTCTGCGGGGAGGCAGCCCCCCGTCAGCCGCCGCCCCGACGGCCCCGCTACCTCCCGAGACCGGACCGGCCCGCCGCCTCCGGGGTTGCTGCCGCCCGACGGCGGACCCGGGGGTGGCCCGGGAAACGGCACCCAAAAAAATGAGTATTCGTTCAAATTCGTTGGCTCGGCGCCGTGTGAGCCTCTCCCCGCGGAGGGCAGCGAACCCCCGGGGCCGCGCACACAGGGGGAAGAGCCCGCGGACACCGAGGAAAACGAGAAGGGAAGCGATGGGAACGGAATTAATCCCCGGGCCGAGCCGCCGGCAAAGTTGCAACGCAATTATTTCCGGCTCTTTTTCCGTTTCCTACGCTTCCAAAATTCACCTGCAAATAACGGCGGGGTAGCCCGGGCGGGGTGGGGAAAGAAACGGCCAAAAATTACGAGAATTGCACTGGGAATGAAAATGCGGCAGGCTTGTCCCGTCGCCCTGCAGATACCGACAGAAATGATATAGAAAGAGATGATATAAGGATACAGACAGAGAGAAATAGAGATATAAAAATAAACAGATACAGTAGAGAACGAAAACGTACAGATATATAGACATAAATATATAGATATCAGTAGATAGGTATAGATATAGATAGGTAGGTAAAAATGTGGATACAGAGGTATGTACATACAGATATATCGGTATAGATACAGACGGAGAGATATATAGACACGGCTGTATAGATATAGATAGACGCAGACAGAGTATCTATACGTAAAGATAACTATATAGAGATATATAGAGATGCATAGTTGTGCGTAGGGCTAGAGATGGAGATGATATCGTTACAGGTATTAATCGTCTCCTCAACAATTCACCGCGTCCAAAGAAATAACTTCAATAACGGCAGCGCTAAAGGCAGCGGCCCCAGCCCCGGGCTGCCCGGGGAGGACTGGGCTCCGGCACCGGCACCGGGCACGGTAACACGGCACGGACCGGGCACGGTAACACGGCCCGGCCCGGCCCGGTCCCGGCCCGCGGCTCTTACGCTGCATGACGACTCCGCGGGCCGCGGCAGTTCCGCTCCCTCAGACGGGCCGCGGGCACTGGCGCATCTTCCGCGGGGCGC